ACATGCATTGTCTGTTTTCAAAATACACTTCTGTTTTCACAGGAAATGCACAGTTTGCACACAGTCTCTTTCAAAACATAATAATTAACATAATTCTAGCATAACAGCTAGCAAACGCACACAAAGACACATCGAAGTATACAGTGCCTACAAAACTTCTAACTTTACTTTGTTGAGCTTCACAGTTGGAGAAGTAATAACCAGTGCAGCATCCTTGTGCACTCAGCATGGGAAGCTACTGCATCGTATGTCGTAACCTGCAATTCAGTTGGCGCTGTCATCGTACTCAATGTCACACCCAAGTTTATTAGCTCCATGTCGCACAGTGTAGCTGCACCAAACTATGTATAGGAGGCGTAACTTTCACAAAGACTAGTTAAGACCAGTTGAACAATTCTAACATCAAACGTTTACTAATACTTTATCAATCACCGCACACTCATCCCCCCATTATGCTTCAGAGCGTCCACTCTATATCTGTGCACAGAGCAACACACTGTGCTGTAAATCAATACAAATTCTATATTTGGCACTGAATGCAGTCAGAAACTAATCCAAGTACTGTATGTATGTGTGCCTTTTCTGGAACAGGACTCTTGTTCTGTTGTCTCACCAGGAACAGACCAGGTTTGGAGGAATTACAGACACAATATATTAAGTTAGTTTCATCATGACGTTCTCCATAAATTGTTTGGTAAATACGTTGTCTAAGAACAGTGAAAAACAAACTGCTGTCTTGTCCAGGAAACAGTGTGAGTCCTTACACTGTGATATACGACATGGTTTCCTCTGGCCTGATGTAAAAAGGGGAAACAGCACAGGGCGGTAAAGGCTGCTGCTTAACTTGATTTTGTGTGTTGGAGCTTTGATGTTCACCCAAAGTGCAGTCAGTACCTGCAGGGCTTCTGACCTCTCACTGCCAAAAAGAAGCAAAAAAAAAATGGCTGAATTCAGACCAGTTTCTAACCCTGGTGAAAACCCAATCATACAACACTCACTGAGCTGATGACCACTTACTTATTCAGTGGAAACTCTCACTCTGGAGCACTCTGGAACAGCAAACTACAAAGTCACCTGTCGTCTTATAACGCTGATGCTCCAGCAGAGCCTTTTTTGAATCTTCTTGCACAAACATTTGGTTAAACTGTGAGTATTCTGTCATTGACTGTTCCTCTGTCAATTGTTAAAGCGCTCATTTGCTTGGAGAAAGTACACAGTAATCTAAATTAGCAAGATATTGAAAATTAGTACTTTTGCAGCACTCCCCATTAGGGGTCGCTAAGGGGTAGTGATGGCCAAATGAAGCCTCATGAAGCATTTTCTTTATTTCATGAGCCCACTAGATGGCACTTTTTGTTCAACAAAAGGTTGAAAGCACACTGAATTGCCATTCATTTGAGCCTCTCTCTTTAAACCATGAGCGCCATCTAGTGGGCTCAGAAAATAACGAAAATGCTTCATGAGGCTTCATTTGGCCATCACTACTAAGGGGCCATATTTCTTTGTGCCCTCAAATTCTTTGTTTACTAATGTAGACACATGGTAGGTGCACTCAAACACCAGAGCGATGTCGTTGCCACACGCATGTCTTCCCGAGTGCCTATTTTTTTCAGAATTTAGTTCAAGTTTTGGAACGCACCAGCTCGCACCGCATGTCATTAGATGAAGATCAACCAATCACAGCCGGCAGATATCTTTCCCTTCATCCGCAAATATCAAACTGTGATAAATATGGAAAGTTAATCATGTTCGTGCAGGGCTGCCAGAGCTTTACATCTGTCTCGCGGACAATCAGCCGACACACAAACAGCGCCTGGAAGAAGATCAGCTCTGCACTCAGGATTTCAGGTACACGGCTATGATACGGTGCTTGTTAAGGTTGCTTAGCAACCTCAGATGCAATCTGCTGCCATGAGTAGCACCCAGTGTTTGACCTAGCTTTTTCCAGGCAGATAAAGAAGCGGGTTGTGTACGGCCCCCAAAGCTTCACAAGGGGGTGGGAGGCCTTGAATTTAAGGGGTGTAAGAAAACTTTTTTTTTGTGAATAAAACTAAATGAAAGTTGTATTTTTAAAGTTTAGATTATCATGTAAAATATTAACTTTGAAAGAAATCTCAAACGATAATGGCACAATGAAGACCTGCTACATTAATAGAGCCAGTGTTTCCCAAAGAATTACTGTAGATAAAAATCAAAATGTGGCAGCAGGTATTTTAATCGTGGCGTGCCGCCACAAAATGGAACCCTGAGAGCTTTCACTTTCTGCTAAACAGCCTCGTCTTGCATTAGAAAAGTACACAGTTAAAACAACGAAAAAGCTTATCGAACAGTGGCCAAGTGTCAGGGAGGAGAATCTCTGATGTAACATTCACAGGAAATTGTTGCCCAAAATTCATCCAAATCACTTGTTCCTGCTTTTATCGTGTTCACTGTTTGAGTTAACTGTATAGTTTATTAGTCGTTGCACTGAAGATAATATGAAAGATCCATAAAATATGTCACTTCGTCAGGTTTTTTAAGGACAAAAGTTGGGAACTACTGATCTAGATGACAACAATATTAGCAACTATTTGTCATTTTTTGAGCAAAGATGCCGACAACTTCAGCCTCTATAAACTGAGAATTTGCTGGTTTCTCTGTTAACATAATTGTAGATTGAATATGTTTGAGTCTTGGACTGTTGGTCAGAAAAAATAAGCTATTTTAAAATGCCTTTTGACACTTTACAGACTCAAAAATAATCTGCAGATACATCAGCAATGAAAATCACTAACTGTAGTTGCCAAGCTTCCTTCAAAAGTGACTGGTGTTATTGCACAATGTCTGTGTTGGTGGATGTCAGAGGTTGGCGGGTCTCTCACTGCACCCTTCTGTATTATTATGCTTTTAGCTCTGTGATTAATACAGGGAAGGAATGTTGTCAGTGCAGCTTACATCTGTCTGATCAGGGCCAGTGTGGCAGAAATAGCCCATCACAAGAGGCTGAGTCATTCGAGCAAAATAGTTTTTGGTCAAAGTCAAATTGCTGCTCATTTTAATTTTCTCAACGCACGGAGAAAAGGCAGCACCAGCACGAAAATCTAATCTGCAGAGCTCAGGACAAGATTCAGAAAATTTATGAGCTGAAGAATCTGTTCACATATAATGTACCTAATCAGTGTCAAAGGTCAGGTAAGGTTTGTGGCTACAATGGGAAAATGGCAACTTGCTCACATGAATAGCAGGTGACTACTGATGGTGTGGTACAAGGGAGAAACCCAGTTTACTCTCCTTGTTGCTTCTGAAATTGAGGGTATATACCTTCATGTTTTGTAGTTTTACAAGACAAGAAACAATCTGACGACATAAAATGACATACAAAGGAAAAACTGCTCAGCTGAAACATTATTAGTTGTGTGTGAGCTACACTGGCAGTGGTTTGTGATATGATGCTCACCAACTGAAGGACATGAGGATTTACTCACATTCTTGACAACTTGACAACCGTAATCACTGATGAAATGTAGCCCACAGGCACATCTGTAAAACCTGATATGTTGCTCTTTGGAAAATACATGATTTTATCTTATTTATTATAGAGGTCGGGGGGAAAATCAGTACAGCATGGTAATGCGCTATTTGTATGTATCATCACACAGTGCCAAATATTGATTTTTTAAAGAATATAAATCATTAATATTACAAATACAATTTCAACTTCACGTAGCCTACTTGAGTAACATAATCAATTACTTTTTCGGTCCACCAGATACATTTTGCAACAAAAAGTTTATGCAGAATATCACAAAATACACTCACCGGCCACTTTATTAGGTACACCTGTTCAACTGCTCATTAACACAGATAGATAATCAGTCAATCATGTGGCAGCAGCTTAATGCATTTAGTCATGTAGACATGGTGAAGACGAGCTGCTGGATCCATCCTGCCTTGTATCAACGGTTCAAGCTGCTGCTGGTGGTGTAATGGTGTGGGGGAGATTTTCTTAGAACCAGCTGAGCATGGTTTAAACACCACAGCCTGAGGAAAGATTCCAGCACCTTGTTGAATCTTTGACAGCAAGAATTATGGCAGCTCTGAAGGCAAAAGAGGGTCCAACCTCGTACTAGCAAGGTGTACCTAATAAAGTGGCCAGCAAGTGTGTTTTATTGCAATACTCAGCATATCACAACATATTTAAAACCACAGTAGTATTGAGATATGGTATCATGGATCCTCTGGTAATTCCCATCCCTATCATCTTAGCAGCTCTGCTCATATCAAACTTCCATCATGTTTTTCATTTATAGGAAAACAAAAGCAAAATGCACCCCTCTGTGTTGCTCCTGTATATAAGAGGATTGTGAGGATGGGAATCCCCACACAAAGAGGGAGGGTGAAGCCTCTCCTTACATCAGGACAGGCAGCACATCCCAAATCAAGAGCAAGTAGGGCGAAGCTGGCCCTGACATCTCCAGCGCTGACACATCGCGCCAAACACCATTCAGAAAATTAATTACTTTAATGTTAGGTGCCTCAACTGGCACATAGTACCGCTATATTAAAGATGACTCGAGACTTTTGCAGACTCTTATCCAGCCTTTAATTCGGCACACGTCTAGTGGCTCACAATAACTCGCTTCTGCCTTTTTATTTAACGTAATGCCAACTTTTAGGAATGATGTGGACGGGTAGCAGCGGCAGAAAATTAAGCGACGAGTGAACGATGTTTGGCTGTGAGGCGAACCACCTCTTAAAAACAATTGTGGTGTTTCTATGTGGTGCATATTAAAGAAATAAACCCAAACAACTATGTGTTTCTAAGCTACCTCCTGTTATGTGTCATTACGGATGAACCTCACACAGCCACTCGGTGTTTTGACCGGGATTCAGCGAAACGTTTCCTCCACACGGGGGAGAATGACACATATGCGGGTTACGGAGCGATGGGCCGCTGCTGGAGACCGATATGACAGCATACAGCACCTCAACGTTACACAGCAACAATGGAGACGACCTACCTGGGATAAAATAACCTGCCGGTGGATCATTCTCCAACGGGAAGGGTGAGGACTCGAAGGGGTACACGCCTGCTAATTTCCACCGAGCTCCATTTCGACGGTAAAAGGCAGGAGGGACACAAACAAACGGCGGACCGATTAAAGGGCCGATGAGGCACGCGACAGAGAGGCTGTAGTCACATCCTTTCCTCTTCCCCTGGACCAAAGTAAAGCTAGCTGAAATGCAACACACACTTCCCGCCCGCTGCCAAAATTACCCATTAAGCTCGACTCGTGAGTTTTTTTGGCCAATATTTCAAATTAAAAAATACATTTTAATGTTATAAATACCCGTGCAACAATTATTTCCATTTTAAAATTAATTTTCTTATCAATTTGAGCAACTGCAAGCTGAAATACGCTTTTATTTCGAAGGTAGCACTTCCGCTTACATTCGAGATGAATGCGTCCGGTGGAGCTGGGTACCAGTTTCCTGACAGCCAATCACAACACGCGCTTTTGTCCTCGCGTGCGCTGCCTCCTCCTCTCTGCCTCCCGATATAAACATATATAAATAAATATTATAAATAATATAATATAATATATGTGCATATATGATATGATAAATGAATAAATAATATTATTTTTACAGCCTATGATATAAACACGTTGTTTGCGCACGCGCGCAGCTATGATGCACATCACTCTCTCCGCTCGTGCATCGTTTTCCCTCAGAGAGCTGCAGCTGATGTGAGGAGGAGAAAATACTCCTCACCTCAGCTTGTAACTGGAAGCATACTGGGAAACACTTAAGGAAGTATGTACCTTACTGGGAGCTTTGGAAAATACTGAGTATTAATGTGGTAGATATTACTGGGACCTCAGTTTAGTGAGGGACTGTTCGTTATTTATGAGAGGAGGGGTGGGCATATCAAGTAATTTTCTAAGCACTGAGGAGGGACTGATGTTTTCTATTTTGGCTCAGGGGACAGACACAACTTTTAAAGGTTGTATTTTGTATTTACTCTCTCCCCGCCATTAACAAGATTTTCTCCGACCTCGTCACATATCAACGTTTGGTCATGGACTTTCTAGTTTTCAGCATTTTTTCTCCGTTGATTCATCAGACGAAGAATAATAAACATAGCACACGCCACAACACAAGCGCTGGAGCCGGCATTTCGAACCTGAATGACTACTGGTATCTTGCGTTGCTACTACGCATGAGGTAGGCCTATGTCTGCACATCAGCCATGCCAACTGGCATGAAGTTGTGTCTCATTTCTTAGGGAAAGATCTCTACACTATTATTTCTCACTTCCCTCATCAAGGGTTATCTCGCAAACGAGGGCACTCAATACCAAGTGGAAGATTTAAGGGGTAGAAATGGGACAGGCCCATGGTTTGGTTTAGTCAGCAAAAACACGTCACATCACAAAATGCTATAGATTTTCCTCTGAGTCATGTGTGCAGTTTTCTCTTTGATGATTTACTTCTGTCTCTTTTACTGCGTGATAAAATGAGTTCCTTTCTTCTCTGTCAGGAAGGTTTGCTGATCTAAATCATTAAAGTTATTTACCAGTGATAATCACATATCTTCACTTTTAGTGATTTTCAAGTTATAGTTTAAAGCCCAATCCCAGTACACCCCTTGCCCCCAACACTTGGCACCTGCCCCTCTGTTTTCAAGTTCACAACACATTCTCACTCCGACCTCGTCACATATTGACGTTTGGTCATGGACTTTCCACTAGTGATGGCCAAATGAAGCCTCATGAAGCATTTTCATTTTTTTTCCTCCAATAACAAAAACACGTGGTTAGGTTTAGGAAAAAAGAACAGGGTTTGGCTTTACAGTCTTTCAGGATGTGTTCTTATGGTTGAAAATCAGAGTTTGTTGGGCAGTGAAACCAACGAAAAAGGCATCCTTAAACCTCAGCATGATTCGCGGCCTGTTGCTGTTATAGTTTAACAGTGCCCAGCGGCATCAGAGGGAAACACGAAGGACACGACAAGGACGAAAGTTAAGGCGGCGAAAGTCCGAGTGGGTCAGGTGGAAGGGGCGATGGATGGGTCCAACAAACACTGACTTTCACCACAGAGAGCAATGTTTGCATCCCCTAAGATTCTAGAGCCAAAGCCTGTTATTTTTTCCTAAACCTAACCACGTGTTTTTGTTATTGGAGGAAAAAAAAATGAAAATGCTTCATGAGGCTTCATTTGGCCATCACTAGTGGAAAGTCCATGACCAAACGTCAATATGTGACGAGGTCAGAGTGAGAATGTGTTGTGAACTTGCAAAACAGAGGGGCAGGTGCCAAGTGTCGGGGGCAAGGGGTGTATTGGGATTGGGCTTTAAACTATAACTTGAAAATCACTAAAAGTGAAGATATGTGATTATCACTGGTAAATAACTTTAATGATTTAGATCAGCAAACCTTCCTGACAGAGAAGAAAGGAACTCATTTTATCACGCAGTAAAAGAGACAGAAGTAAATCATCAAAGAGAAAACTGCACACATGACTCAGAGGAAAATCTTATAGTTTGATCCTTTAGTATTTTCTTTTTCTGTATTGTGATTCACAGAGGAATTCAGGGGAGCTCAACCTGATCCAAAATCTCAGACTCTCTCTTTGATCTTCTGAAAGAGGTAACCCTTTCAGGTATAGTGGTCACTACAATGGACAGCTATTTAAAAGACATTTTCTTGTATGTACATGGGTTTCGATGCTATAGTTGCATTTAAGTCACTAGAGTGGACCCTAGTGCTTCATACCATACACTGCCACCCAGTGGCCAGGTGTTGTCAGTGCAATGCAAGTACAGTCAAGTAACATCTAAAGGAGTAACACAGTTGAATATATGTTGAGAGGAAATTGCAATTAATCATCGATCCACTAAACTGGGCATCTGTAAGGCGTGTGATTTGAACCCCAATGCAGCACTCTAGAAGTCAGTAATAGTTGGTAATGCCCTTTAATTAAACAAAGGCAAAGAAGGCGATTGGTCAGATGAAGAAACCGTTATCAGTTTGTCCTTCAGGTAGTGATGGCCAAATGAAGCCTCATGAAGCATTTTCTTCATTTTCTGAGCCCACTAGATGGCGCTCATGGTTTAAAGAGAGAGGCTCAAAGAATGGCGATTTAGTGTGCTTTCAACCTTTTGTTGAACAAAAAGCGCCATCTAGTGGGCTCATAAAATAAAGAAAATGCTTCATGAGGCTTCATTTGGCCATCACTACCTTCAAGCTCAGAGCCCACACACAGTCTCTGGGCTCAGGGGCCAGGGAACAGACTGGGCCAAACCTGGAAACGGGGCCGAGAACAAGGACGTGAGTCCAAGGACCCGTATAGTTCAGTCTGCTGGCAGGCAGAAGTGACAGAGAGGGGCTTACTGATGGCGTGGTCAAGAAGGCGAGGGGTCGGGAACCAGAAGAGCAGTCCAGCAAAGCAGCAGAGCCGACAAGGGACAAGCAGGAGGTAGGTAGATGCCAGGCGAAGGATTGAGGAGCCGATAGATAGGTGAAAGGAGAACACACACAAGGCAGCCTGTGGTGTCTCACAGACAGTTTCTGAGCTGCAGCAGGTGGGAACACTTGCGCTGAACTGTCATCGCAGGAAAACACCACACATCCATAGGCAGATGGAAACCAGAGACGCTGAGGCAGAACTCATGGTTGGGGACAGGAGGCTGGTGAGTTTGCTGGGAAACAGACCATGCGGGCAGGTCAGAGGTCGGTAACAGGAGACTGAGCAGGAAGAAGTGCTGGAAAGACTTGCATGTGGGCAAAGAACAATCTGGCAAAGAGAGTCTATAAAGCAACAGTCTTTATAGCTGCAGGAGGTGATGATCTACAGGTGAGAGGATTGGCCTGATGAGGTGGGTGTGGCAGACAGGCAGGAGCGCGAAATGTCCAAATCCATCCACAACATTCTGTATCGTCTTCTTAAGCAAACTAAAGATTATTTTCTTTACATTGGACCTGAATGAATTTTTCTTGCACAATCTGTCAGCTTATTAATAAGAAATCAATTCCAGAGGTTTACAGCATCTCACACGTTTTTCTGTAAAGTCAGACCCTGACAGTGACGATGCAGTGGACTCATCTGACAGGAGCTTAGAGCTAGAATCCTGTGTTAGTTCTGAGCTGACGGAGTTTAAGCCTCCTGCTGTATACTGACTCACAGTCAGTGCATCAGCTGTCTTTTCACCTTTCAATACGGCAGCACGAGAGGCATAATCAAACACACGGAGGTCACAGAGGTCACATTAAGACAGGTGAGCAGATGGTTAGACTAAAAGTGAGGTCCTGCCTCTTTTGAATACGTATGTCAAACAGTTTGCAACAAATCAAAGTGTTGCACAAATTCAGTGTTTCCCAAACATTTTGGGCATACGGCATCAGGACCTGTTGTAAAGGAGGCTTATTTATTACCTGTAACCTACCATTCCCTTGGATGTCCTCATCACAGATACATATACTTTTGTCGGTTCTTCTTTGAAATGATCACCTTCCTCCGATACATTAGTCATTATGTCATTGCTGTTGTAAATGGTTATGAACCAGGATACTGGTGTTGATACGCTTTGTTTTTAGTGCTATATGGAAGGTTCTAGTGCCACCTAGAGGTGGAGATTGTTGTATCTTCAACCTCCATCCTTCAGATCCTGCCTCTGGCAACTTTATAGCTTTTTTAAAAGTTTTTTTAAATCATGCTTTTTATTGTTTACAGGACCGGTTATTTGTATCTTTGTGATCCTGCCCCAACTTTTGTCACCTGCACAGGACAGACACACCTACCTACTGTGTGTACAAGACCACTTCAAGGCACATTTATCAAAGTAAATATAAATGTAGAAACAAATATACAATAACTAAATAAACACACACACACACACACACACACACATATATATATATATATATGTATGTGTGTGTGTGTGTGTGTATATGGCGTGGTCAACACAGCACAAACATTTATTGGACTCCCCCTGAGACTCTATGGACTCCACAGAGACTATGGATTCTATGGCCTCTACAGACTCTATGGACTCTACAGAGACTCTATGGATTCTACAGACTCTATGGCCTTTACAGACTCTATGGATTCTACAGACTCTATGGACTCTACAGACTCTATGGCCTTTACAGACTCTATGGATTCTACAGAAACGCTGCTGACTTTACAGAAACTCTACTGAC